GGTCTAGACAAAATGACCTAAACCCCGGGGGTCTAGAATAAATGACCTAAACCCTGGGGTCTAGTTTAAGTTTTCTCAATTAAATAAGACTATTGGTAATCACGTGAATATTACAATAAACCATACTTCTTTTGATTTAAAATGAAATTCAGAATATATGTTCTTTTTTTTTTATAATAGCAAAAATATACATGTATGGAAAAAAATATAGACATGAAGAAAAAATTGTATGCAAAAAATGAGAAAGTGGTAAAAATGATGGAAAATAAAATTGACTGTCTGTTTAACGAACGTATAAAAATAAGTGATAAAAAAAATTATTGAATGGAAATAAGGTAAACGCATTATTAAAACAACTGAAAGTATTTTTGGGTTCTTAATTACTCATATTTTCCAAGAAGAATTTTATCGGATTAAAACTAATAATATAAAGAACTATCTTATATTTTTTAAAGAATTGATACTTTTATCAAGCAAAAAATAGCAATATGGTTAAATAGAATTTGCAAATTGAGACTATTTATAAATTTTAAGTTTTGTAGTTAATAAACCTAATGACTTTTTCTCCAAAATTAGCTAATTCTTAAGCCATTTTTTTTTTAATTCAAAATTTTATGTTTTCATATTTCATTAATATCTAAAATTATTATTATTAATTTTTTAATAATGGTCGTACTCCTATTTTGATTGACAATACTAAGTGATTTTCTTACATATTAAATTACAAAATCGTATATATGTACAGTCGTGTCGGAAAGTGACGCCCGATTTTTTAATAAATAAAAATTCTGATATGTACACGATTTATTCTATTTCTATATTATGTACATAACTTTTTTTTTTATAATTGATTAATACTTTGTTGTCCTCTCTTTGTATCCAATACTTCTTCAATTCTTTGTGGTATTGAGTTCACAACCTTCCTAAGAATTGATACATCAAATTTTGACCACTCCTCACTCAAGGCAGTCTTGAGCTCATCTACACTTTTGGAAAATTTTTTTGTTTCTGGATGTTGTCCTTTAACAATTTCCAAATATTTTCTATGGGTTTAAGGTCGGGAGAATTTGCTGGCCAGTCTTTATATTCATCACAAAACACTAATGGTCCTTTTATCTCTCCCACAAAACATCCCCATACCATTACTGAGCTTCAACCACTTTTAAAAGAGGGTGCTAAACATTCAACATCATATCTCTCTCCTACATGTCTCCACACTTTTATTTGCTGAGATTGCTTTCCAATTTCCATGCTCATTTCATCTGAAAAAATTATGCACGCCCAATCATAGACAGATTTATTCTTATTTTCTTAACCCCAACTAATCCATTTTTTTGTATTGTTTTCTGAAACAAAATTTTTTTTTGCTGTAATATAGGAATGAATCCCAGCATTATATATTGTTTCTTTAGCAGTTGTTAAACTGCAGTTTAAATTTAACTAAGTGATAATTTCGTGCAATGGTGTACGTCATTTTTTTTGAAGCTTCGTCTACAAATGCATCTTTTTCATCATTGTTAATGGTATGTGGCCTTCCTGGTCATAGGTTTATTGCCAAGTACAAGAAAACTGGAAAAATTGAAAATTTACTGTGCATTGTAGTAGGATCTCATTCTATTTTTTTTTACAATTTGGGTGGCATTATGTGCCAGTATTTTTCCTTATCCTGAGGAGTTAATTGGGCATGAGTGGGTGTCATTTTAACAGGAAAATTTACTTCATAACATTCATACAGTTATGAAAAAAATAAATAGTGTCGCGGTCTGCGCAGAACAATGTGGAAAGTTACGCAAATCAGTCTTACACTTCTCTTGTGCGCAATATCACGATCAGGCAATCAGTCGATCTAAACCTGCTTACTAACACTCACAAACAATGCAATTACGTGTAATATCTGAAGGTACGATGAGCAAGTGGAGTAAAAGTTTCTTTATTACTGCTTGCACACTACCAAATTGAAATAGACCTTTTAATGCAACTTTGCTTTGGCGTATCTTATCACTTTGCTTCCTCCTGTACTAAATTAATTATTAAAATTATTACAGAAATACAACAATAGAGATATATTACTGCGTTGGCGTATCTTATCTCTATTGCTATACGAAATTATTTTGTTATTGTTAAAAAGTATTACGAATAAAAAGTAAAATAAAACTAAATTAAAACGTTCAAAATATTTAAGTAAAAATAAAAATAAAATTAAAATTGTTCGAAATATCAAGTAAAATATTTTTATTTTGGTTCTTGTTCTTTTTGGCGAAAAGGAATCTCTTTTTCTTTCTTTCCAGCTGCAGCTATTTTATAGTTTTTCTCTTTGTTTACCTTCATCCTCTGTCATCCAAAAAAACGCCTTCGTACCAGGATGAATAAACAGTTATCCTGGATGATGGATGGTAATTTATCCAAATAGTGACACATATCATCCGCTATAATCCCCCGTGACCCCGGCTATTTTCGTGCCGCCTCAATATGAAAGATAATTTAGTGTAACGCTTTTTATATTTTTTATATAAAACAGAAATTTCGAAATATTGATTCATATCAAAAACCAACTGCCGTGCAAAATGAATCATTACAATATGTACGAGCACACGCTTTATTTCATTCTGAAGAATTTCTTTGCATATAATTAAAATTTTATTTGTTCTTTTTTTATTTTCATTTTTCCGTCTTAAATACTTTAACATTTCATTTATTAATTTAATACTTATTCTATACATATTTTATGTTATTCATTGATTACTATGTCAGGTTTCAAGGCAAGTTATTTCTTATACTGTCTTTTTTTAACGCATTTAACTGCACCGTTTTTTTTTTGTATAAATCATTCTCTTTTTCAATGCAAAATTTTTACATATAAGGGAAAATTTTTTGAAACTTCAAAGTTCTGGGTATAGTTCTCTGCGCAAAAAAAACACTTGCATGCATATTAGGTATGTTATATATAATTAATTTCCTATTTTAATTGTTGCGCTAGCATACCCGTCTAGGTAGATTTCTCAATTTAATATATGTACTGTCTCTCATTGCAAATAGTGGTCGAACTTTATTTTTTTGCAAAATCCACTAGTATTTTTATGTCAAAAAGAAACTTTTAATTTCATTTAAATGGGAATTTTTATTTCGCTTGGTGCACATTCCACTTACCTAATATGCAAGAACGGATTTAAATTTCCAAATTGTGAAATAATTTGATCGCATGCACATTTTAAATACCTAAAGATGGTAATATGAATGCAAAAATTCATTACATGATTTAACTAAACATTATAAAATTTTTATTTTATTCTGAAGAATAAGATGAATGCTATGTATCTGTATTTGATCTCAAAAAGCAAATCTAGAAATTAAATAAAAAGAGAAAAGAATTTAATTGCATATATTATATTATTACGGTCAATACCCAAGCGACATGGAAAGGAAAAAAGAATTCTATCACTATATGGATGGTCAAATTAAATATATTTGTCTTCTATATATAACTCATTATTTTTATAATAAAAATACGATACTTTAATTTATTATAAAAATTATTGTATAAATAATCTTCCTCCGCGAATAAAAAAAGAAAATTTAGAATTTTTAGTTAAATATGTCTCTTTCTATTAACTACCAAAATACTGTAAACAGAATTAAAGTCCCATTTCCTCCATCTATTAGCATAGACGAAATTGTAAAAATACACTTAAAAAATAGAATCAAGAGTGTGAATCAAACTATGAATGCATTTATGATTTATCGAAAAGAATATAATTATGTGGTTGCAAAATTTAATTTCTCACGTAAAGAAGTATCTAAATTTGTCCGCATTTCATGGAAAAATGAGCCAGAATATGTTAAAGACTATTACTGACAGATGGCAAAAAACGTAAAAAAATGTTTCAAAGAAAATGCTCCTTTTCATTGTTGTATCAACAGCAGTCTATCTGATACAAATGATAATCACGTCCCTTTAGATACCTCTAATCCTTCACTTCTTAATACAAGTTTAAACTCCCCTCCCCCTCTTAATATAGAACAACCAATCGAATCTGTCAATTTCAGAAATGATCTTTACGCATATATGATGAATATGGATGATAATGAATTTATGAACTATCTTTCTGAGGATATGGCTTTAACTTATAGCACAATTATTCAATCATTATCGTGATTTATATTTTGCGAACTATAAAATTATGTCAGATAGCACATTAAAGAGTATTAATATGGTTGTTTATTACAAAACGTATTAGTAAAAACAAAGCTTAAGGTATATGCTTTATCAGAATTTTCTATGTTCATATACGGCCCTCTATAGTCACCCTCTGTACAATCACATCATATAAATCCCACACCTTTCATAAGGACCAATACTTAGTAATACTATATAAAGATCCCTCTATAGGGTGTACTTGTAGAGGGGGTCCGCTGTATATATTAGGTCAAATTTTTTCGCCATCTAAACCGTAGCAACATGTTATCGTGGGAATTTCGATAGCCACATTTGCCACATTGCATACGTATTATTTTTTATTTTTTCCAATTAAAAATTTATTAATTTTTTATTATATTATGAAGACTAATATGATCATAAGGATTATGAGTGGGGTTTTTTTTTATAAATTACATAAATTGAACTAAATCATCTAACATGTATCGTGGAAATTTCGATAGCCGCCATTTTTTTTATTCATAGTATTTTTATTGCATACAATTGAAAAACAAAAATAATTAATTATCTATTATATAATGAAGACTAATATGATTATAAAAGATTATGAGTGGGGGATTTTTTTTACAAATTAAATTTATATATATAACATAAATTACATAAATTGATATTCAACTAATTAAATTAAATTAAATTAAATTTCAAAAGAATTATCACGATTTGTAACCAAGTATTGAATTTCTTTCAAAATATCATCAGAATTTTCATATAATTCGGGATTTTTAAGAATATTTTGAAAAGTGATAGTTTCTTTAACATTTTCGAATTCTTCCACAATATATTCAATAACATCTTGTTTTAAATCAGGATATTGGACTGAAATTCCAAATAATAATACAATAGCCATTTCAGGTTTTAAATTACAGATTACATAAGTTTTGGCTCGTTGCCTTAAATCATAAATATGATATTTATCAGCTAAAATGAAAATATCAATGGGATTATGAAAATTTGAAAATGAATTAAAATCGATATTATTGGTGTATAAATAAAGTAGAATTGTTTTAAATGTTAAATAATCTGTATCGGTAATATGAATTTTATGATGTTTTTTGTTTTTCTTGGAGGAATGAGAAGAGGAATTGGTGGAAGCAGAAGTGAAAGTGGAAGTAAAAGGAGAAGTGATTGAAGAAGTAAAAGAAGAAGTAGTGGAAGATAAGGATGGGAAAGAAGAAGAAAATGAAGGAGGTTTGCACACTTGATTTAAAGGTTGTAAGATAGAATGCCAAAGGTTATTAACTAATGTAAACTTATTTGTGTTGTTATAAGTATCTTGTAAATATGTTATCTTTGATACTAAAAAATTATTATTATTATTATTATTATTATTATTATTATTATTATTATTATTATTATTATTATTATTGAAATTATTATTATTATTATTATTAGTAGCAGTAGTAGTAGTAGTTTCATCATCGTCATTAGCATACACAGAAGACGACGCAGACCCCGGAATTTTTAATAATTTTCGAAAATATTCACATCTTTCAAAAACTATATTACTTCGAGCATAAAGATCACCATCTTTAAGTATAAATTGTAAATCTGAAATTTCCGGATCATTTAATTCCGAAGCCCAAGCTTTAATAATTTTCCGAGGACAATATGTTGAAGGTAATGTTTCACTGATCATTACTTTATGTGAAGTTAAAACTATTTGGGAAAATGTTACACCGAATGTAATGTTTCCTTTGCGTGATAGGCGTGATCTCTTACAAAATTTATAAAATCCTATATATATAATAATAATAATTTACATATAAATAATTAATGACAATATAATATAATTAACATAATTAAATAATTAATATAATTACCCCAAATGGGAGCATTCAAAGAATATTTATCTAGTGAACCAAATTCTTCACGTTCATTAATATTTTTTATGAAATAAGTCGCACTGAAATATGATCGATTTTTCCAAATATTGGTACATTTAATTTCCTCGGAATTTGGAATAGCTACTAACCAAATTGCAATATAATCGGGATATTTTGAACATGACTAAAAAATAAAAAATAAAATAAGAAAAGGGAAGAAAAAATAAAATAAAATATTCTAAATAAAAATGCTAGATAAATAAATGTAAAATTTAATAATTTTATTTTTTTTAAAATATATATATATATATATATATATATTACCGAATCTATTTTAAGTTGCCAAAACATATCTGATCTAGTAGCAAAGGGTGGAGAAAAGAAACTTTTCATATTATCAAATTTTTTAATGGAAATTTTATACTCAAAAGTTGTCTTTGAGCCTGCAAATTCCATTTTTTTTTTTATAAGATAATCAAAATGGAGATTTTAAGATTTACTGGATTTTAATTTTTGATTTTTGGTAAATTTTTTATATTTATTTATATAATTGATAATTATGGATATGCATAATGTAATGCATTTGATTAACACGATTTTAACCTCGTTTGGAGATAATTCTTTAATAATAATTCTGCAATGTACGAACTTAAACTCTTTCTGAATTTCTAAATAATGTTCAAAAAACGAAAAAAAGTGAAAAATCATGCAGTTATATTTATTTTTTTTTTGAATGATAAATCAAATTATGTAAATTATGTTTTGATTAAATTGTTTAATTCAATTGTTAATTCAATTGTTGATAATTTGGATATTCAATATTGATTTGATGTTTCAAACTTAGAAATTAACCAATCATTCAATTGATTTAATTGCATATAATTGTAACTATTGTTCTAATTTATTGTTTATAAATCGGATGATTTATAGTTTAAGTTATAGCAATTGTAATAATTATAGTTAGTTGTTATTTTAATGGGAAATATAAATAACTTTACATTCTTAGCATTTTTTATGATATGCATGACATGCAATGCACTGTCCTTTATAGTAGCATTTGACATGTGCTATTATTTATTACTATTATAATTGGTGGAAGAACAAATCTGCACGGTCTTGAATCTTAATTCTTGTGTTTAAATAAATCTCATATTTTTAAATAAATCTTGTGTTAAAAATAAAGCTCGTATTAAATTCTCATGTATAAATAAATCTTATGTTTAAATAAATCTTGTCATCAAATATTAAATCTTGTGTTTAAATCTTGCCTCTCTCGTGGGTGCCTAATAAATAATACAAACCCTGAAAATACAGTGGGGTATCAAAAAACAAAAATTAATAAAAAATAAAATCTTTATTGTGACACAATAAGTGATCTAAATTGCATTTTATTAAATCAGGGCTATCATATGATATATTTTGCATTAAAATTGAATTACGCTTCAAATAAAATTGACAAAAAATAAAAAATTAATCTTTTAACGTTACCCATACCGACTCGATGGATTTTAAAGATAGATAACAACTATCTTATATGATTGTGTAGCCAAGAACAATATCTATGACTTTAATTAAAAGCACTTTATAATATCTAGTGAAAATTTGAACCTTAATTAGACGTGAATAAAAACGACCAAAAATAAAAAAAAAAATCCGAAAATAATTGTCAATCATTTCTACATATTAAAGTTTTTTATTTACTAAATTACTAACAAATATAGTACTAAGTAACATTAAAGTTGAGAATATATAGAATCTTATATAAAGTATTTTTAGACATATTTAATTAAAATTGGGCGAATAATTAACGATTAAATTCCAGAGAATAATTTCGAACGTCAAGCGTATAGCCGTTGATATTAAATTTAATTCATAAGTAAAAATTCTAAAAACTTTAAAAATGATGCTCCATATTCATATCTATAAGATTAATTAGTAATTTATTTGCTGTTTTATTAATAAATAATGACTTTAATATGTAGTAACGTTTGATAATTATTTTCTGATTTTTTTAATATCAAAGATAAAATGATCGACAATAATTTGCCCACCGCGTAAATTTCTAAGGCATTATTGTCGATCATTTTACCATTGATATTAAAGAAAAATTCTAAAAATAACTATCAAACGTTACTACATACAAAAGTTCATAATTTATTAATAGAAAAGCAAATTTATTACTAATTAATATTATAGAAAAGAATGTGGAGAATCTTTAGTAAAGTTTTTAGAATTTTTACTTACGAATTGAATTTAATATTAACGGCTGAACGTCGGACGTTAGAAAATTATTTTCTAAAATTTAATCGCTAATTATTCACTCAATTTAAACTTAATATGTCTGAATACTTTACATAAAATGCTATATGTTCTCAGCTTTAATGTTACTTAATATTACGTTTATTAGTAATTTAGTAAATGAAAAACTTTTATATGTAGAACCGATTCATAATTATTTTCCGATTTTTTTTTATTTTTTAAAAATTTTAATAAATTTCGGTCATTTTTATTCACGCCTAAGTAAAATCAAAATTTTCACTAAATATTAGGAAAAATTCTTCTAATTAAAGTTGTAGATATTCTTTCTGGCTACATTTAATATAATATAGTTGTTATCTATCTTTAAAATCCATCGAGTCCGGTACGGGTAACGTTAAAAGATTAAATTTTTTATTTTTTGTTTCTCAATTTTCTATGTATAGACATTTAATTTTAATACAAAATATAGGGAAATCTAATCAAAAAAAAGTCACTCGTTGTGTCACAATAATCATTTTAATTTGTGATTTTTTTTATACCTACTACAATTTTAACTAAAAATATGATTTCTTGCTGATAAAAAATTCATTTCCAAAGGAAAAGATACATTTATAAAGAGTTGACTGGATAGCAACATAAAATATTGTAAAATATTATATAATATTATAAAATATTGTATAATATGAAATATTAAAACATTCTAGATATCAAAAATATTCTGTAAATTTAATTATTTAAACCTCTCACGTGAGTTCACTTGAATGTGGCTTGAAATCTACATTATGATTCAACCCGTGTAACAAAATTAACATAAATTTATTATTATTATCTGCAATGACTTCCTATAAAACTTCGAGAAGTTACTTTAATTGTCAATCAGTTATTATCAGTATCAGTTCTCTTTTTTTTTCAAAAAAGATTCGAGTAGAATGAAAAGAAGCAATATTTTCCTTTTATTTATTAGGTTGAAAAATAAATTTCAATGACATTCTGTATCAAGAACATCAAATAATGCATAGTAAATTAGTACAACTTTTAATATTTTTGTGTAAACTGGGAACATATAAATAAATTAAAATTTTCGAAATGGAATTATCCCTTTTTCTCTGTATCTTTTTAAATTTTAATAATTCCCTTTTAGCACTCTTTTTTTTTTTTAAAAAAAAAAATAATAATAAATAATAATGAGAACGAAATCTATAAAATGTACAAAATTTAATGATACAATAATAAATTATTTGATCTTATTCCTGTTATTATTTATTTCAAATATTGCTGCGCAATGTTTTGCTCCGGACCCCCAAAATCCTAGAGAATTAATACCGGTCGCTTGTAATTTGGTAAAAAATGAACCACAAAAAAATCTTGAAGATTTGAAATCCAACAATTCAAATAGTAGTAATAATATGTTTGATATAACATTAAATTGTTCTGTTAGCACGGATTTATGCTCCAAAGTTCAAAAAGCCTTCGAGACCGCGGGAAATATAATATCATCATATTTATCACTTAATACTCGAATCGTTCTTTCTGCAAGTTTTGAATCTTTTTGTATTTCATATCCTTCTCTTTGTGAAGACAGGATATTAGGTAAGTTATATTAAACTTAGAATATCAAAAAATGTTGAAAAAGAGGAATTATTATTTAATTAAAATGATAAGTTATCTCAGTATTCTAAATATTCTATTAAATATTCTAAATCTATTATATGATATATTTAACATATATGTAAAAATAGGTTTTGCTGCACCAGCCAGATGGATACTTATGGAAGATGATGATAGCATTCAACGACTTTATCCTCAATCTTTAGTTAAACAATTTGGATTATCGACACATTTAGAATATTCTCAAAATGATATAATTGCCAGTTTTAATTCAGATGCATCATATTGGTTTGAAGAAGATTCCACACCAATAAATGAAACTCAATATGATTTCTTATATGTGATGTTTCACGAATTACATCATGGTTTAGGATTTTCATCCGCTTGGGATGAATTTTTTACAGGATATGTTACTCCTATATTTGCCAATGATTCAATAAAAGAAGTTGATGTGGATGATGATTTAGTTTATAAAGATAATAATAAATATAAATTTTATGAATGCGCATTTGATAAATATCTTATCTTAATGGAGAATAGTCAAAGAACTAGTGAAATAACAAAAAAACTTAATACATTCTTTACAGAAAATAAAGATTTTACAACAGAATTTCCTGGATCTACTCAAGCTGAATATGCACGTCAAATGTATGAAATAGCTCAAACTCCGAATTCACTAGGATTTTTACCTCGAAATTCAACAAACAATAAAGATGCTGTTATATTAGAAACATCAATTGTCCCATATTTAAGTGGTTCAAGTATTAGTCATGTAGATAATAAAACTTATACAAATACACCAGATTTTCTTATGAGAGCATCTGTAAATAATGGAATAAATTTAGATAAAGAAATAATATCAGGAGGAAATTATACTTTGGGTCCTATAGGTCCAAAGTTGAAACAAGTTCTTGAAACTATGGGGTAAGTTTATTTTATTAATATTTTTATTTATTTTTAATTATTAATTATTATTACATATTTTTTTTTATAGATATCAAACTGCAGATAATCCTAATCCTTATAAACCTAAAGTAATTACCTATTCGGATAGTAACAGCAGTACATCTAATAATATAGGATTTACATTTATAATAATATTTTTGAGTATCTGTTACAATTTTTATTTGTTATAATAACCAATTTTTCTTATCTTAAACAGCTTATTATTCGGTACAATATATCAATAATAATAATAATTATTATTATTATTATCATTATTTCTTTATAATAATAGATTATTATTTTTTTTATCATTTTTAAATTTACATATTAAAATTCTAGAAAAATTGTAAAAATTGTACAACATTATAACATTTCATATACTTGATCAAATGTATCAGAGTCATTTACGCCACTATTGGTTTTGTTACTAATAAACAAATAATATAATAATAATAATTTTAAAATTAATAATAATTAATAAAATATTGGGTTATAAGAAATTTATTTAATTAATATTATATATATACATATATATATATAAATAATTTATAAAATACACATACCAATAAATTCCAAATAAAGCTCCCAATTTTAAGAAATTTGTAAAAAATTTATTTACAGTTATAATAATATATGACATTACTGAGTTTCCTGATATCACCATACCTAAAGGAAATACAAAACATGCAATGCTTGACCATAAAACTAAAATTGATAATATAAAGCTTAATATCTTGAACTGTAGAAAAAAGGAAATGATAAATAAATTTTTAATAAAACATAATAAATATAATATATAATGTAATAAATCTTTAATATATAATAAATATAATACGAAACCTTGTTAAAATAAGCTTTATGAACTCCACCTTGTACCTTTACCCTAGAATCTTTCACTCCCGTTATCAAAACACATTCGTTGACAAGCATAAATAATAATCTTCCATATTTTATAAAACACAAAACAATAAAAATATTCCAAATTCCAATTGTAAATAAAATTATTAAAGAAATAATATTATTCATATTTTCATTCCGTAGAAAAATAAAATATCCTCGTAAAATTGATAATATAAATACTATTGAACCAATTGTTGTTATAAAAGTCCAATAAATTGTAGCCAGTGATCGTTTGTTTGGTATGAAACTAGTTGGATTACTTTGATTGTCATTTCGATTTGTAGTCGATTGATGGAATGTTAAGCGAGGGATAGCTTTAAATCTATATTTTTAATATTAGTACATTATCATTATATTATTTTAGTATTATTATTATTTTCTTTTATTCTCGCACATGTAATATAATTACATTATCCCGGAGAATGAGAAAAGAGATCTAGAGAAGATGATATCCTAGAGAGAGATATCCTAGAAAGACTGACTTACATCGCAACTAAATAAGTTGCATTTGCATAAGTTCCAAATACGAAGTTAGAACCATTAAGCAGAGTTCGTAATACGAAGCATTTCGGAAAGATATTGAACAATACTATAATCATGAGTAAAGTTCGACCTATTATAAATTATTAATTGTATCAACCACGGAATTATTAATTATATTATGAATTATTAAATATTATTTAAATTCGGGAAATATTAAAAAAAAAGAAACAATAAATTCATACGTACTAAAAACGTGGAGCGTCAACCAAAATAAGAAACCAGTTAAAGGTTCAAACATATAATCACTCCAAAGAGGGGAATTATCACGAAAGCACTTATATATCAGTAAACTAGCCGATAAAAGTGTGATAACTATAAAGGAAGTAGTAGCAGTATAATAAAACCACTTCGAGTTATAATTAAGACAATTTTGAATGAATATCATATTCCATGTACATGACGTTTTTGAATTATATGTCGTATTGTTTTCACTTGTTAATAAATTTTGGTTAACTAACATTATTATTACTTTTTCATAAATACTAAAAATTAAAAATTAAGGAAAAAAAAAAAGAATTTTATTAAAAGGAATCGAGAAATAAATAAAAAATTTATAAAAAAAGTTTAAACATTTTAGTATTAGCAAACATAAAAAAATAAATTTATAATTTTCTGTGTTTTTTTTTTAATTTTGTAATCACGAACAAAAAATAAATATTGACAAAGGAACGTAACAGTTACCATTCTATTGTCATCATTTGTTTATATTTTATGAATAATATTTATTTATAATAATTTTGTAAAATTATGTTGTGCTCTATCTAGAATATCTCTTTAAAATCAATAAGAACCTTTTTTTTTTTAAAGAACGAATAGATATCAATAATATGTGCATCACCGCTTCCGAGTATCATTGATAAAAATCGGAATAATTAATTTGGTTAGTTGATTGATGCGCGTAAATGCATACAATATATATTTAAATATATCCTGTTAGAAGATAAAAAAAATATATATCAAAAAATTGTAATAAATTTAGTTTAATAATAGTAATAAGATATTCTTTTTCTTTTTATTACTTAAAATATAGGATTTAGGTACTTTCAATGAAGATTATATCGGAATCGGTAAAATTCGAAAAACGTGTCAGATGTATCAAATATATTAAGGTTAAAATTATGTAATGATAATAGTAACGTCCAGATATAGTGAATGATTTTTTGTGAAAAAAAAAAAAAAAAAAATACATTCTTCGTAAACAGTCGGTCATGGATAACGACCGAGTCAGTTAATGGATAACTTTAATATGGAGATAGTAATAGAATAACCAGTTTTCATTATCAATTCGATTTATTGTGACCGACTTTACATAGTAAAATGCAGTAGAAAATGATTACATTATTGTTTTGTCACAAAAATAATGAACGCATAATAGAAACACGATCACATTTTGAGTAAGGAGGAAAATTTGGAAATAAATATCATGGTACCATATCTTATCTTTCCTGAGAACAAAAATAAATTTGATAAAAAGTTTTAAAATTTGAATTGTGTTCTGCGTATAATTTCCGTGGGGTGAACAATCTTTAAATCTTATGTCCGATACAAACAATTTAGGATCTTCTATTGTGATACTCATTATTTATATGGTGTAGAAAGTTTAAAGGCATCAAATATTTATCAAATATTTTAAACTACAAAAACTTTGTATCCAAATATAGAATCAAAAATAAATATATTATTAAAAAATACATTAAATTGTAATGTTTAAAAAAAAGGTGTTTTTTATATTAATCCTAAAATTTTCAGAGGTAAGTAATTTTCTCTGATTGGCCAGATTTTCACATGACATATATAATTTGAATTTAGAGTGTAATAATTAATTATATCTTAGATATTTAGATAAAATTACAAGTTTCAAAATTAATAAAATTATGTAAAAATAAAAAATAATGAGTTAAATTTTTAAGTTTTTTTTTTTTTGTTCAAAATTTTTTGAATTCTCTTTTTTTTGTTCAAAAATTTCATACAAAATTTTTGTACTTCTGCCAAGTATTTATATAATAAGTCATATGGAATATTACCCACAAAATTTCAGCGGCTTGATGTCTTTAGACTTTCTGCACCATATTTTGTTGTAAAGAAAAAAGTAAAAAATAATAAACAAATAATAAATTTTAATAAGTAGTAGTAATTGAATATTTCAGCTAAAATTTGTGCAACAATGGTAAGAACTCATATGAATATGACAAAAATGAGTTAAAGTTATGATAAAATTGTTTTAAGAACCAAAGCTTGTGTAATGGAATGCCTTTTCTTGTTCGAATATTAGGTATTTCCTTTTTTTTTAAATATATATATATATATATACTGTATATATTACAATACAATAATATTATAATTTGAATAATATTTTCTCAATTAAATTCGAAATTGTCATTCCAACTGAGAGAAAAAGGATTCTAACACGAAGTCGAAATGCTACATAAATTTATCCTAGCGTTTGTAATGCCATCCCATATTTACATATCATAAATGAAATGGCTACTCAAAAAATTATATGGTATGAAAAATTTAAAAGTGTTTGGGAAAAAAATAACATATTCTCTAGATTTCGATATTCATAAAACAATTGCTGAATAAAGAAAGTTTCTTGAAAATATGGTTAAAAATAATCCGAAAATCAAAGAATTTTTACTTAATGAATTATGTATTAAGAATTGGAATTAAATATTTATATATTTACACTATAATTATGAACCTTTTGTAGTTGATCTCTGCATTCCAAGTAAATGACTCGTTCATTGTAAAAAGCGACGAATATTAATATCAGAATAATCAATTCAAATATGAAACAAATACCTTGTTTTTATCAAATTAAATTATATAATATCAAGTTCAAATAAATTTTAAGATTACCCTCAAAATATTTTTATCAAGTAAAGAATTAACGTTATGATGTCAATAATTATTCTAGATTTATTTCCAGTAAAAACATTGCTTTAATTCTAAAGTAAAAGCCTGAAAAAAATTTTTTTTTTCTTTCTCCACTTTTTTGAGTGTTCAAGAAAAAAGTCGTGCTGGATTTCCTTTGGAGAATGAGGAATGCTGAAACTTTATGTTTAACGAATCGCTTTTTTTTTATATTAATTTTTTTAATTATTAATTATTATTAATATTATTGGTGATACAACGCATACATTTATTCACTTGCTCGGTAAGGATTGCGATGTTTAATTAAAGTTAATAAATCTATAATTTTAAACACGGCGTATATCTGATATTTCAATTAATATAATTGTTTTATTATTTATTGTTTATATTTATATAGACCTTACAAACAATTATTCATTGTGATAAATTTATAAAATTTATAAATATTAAAATTATTTATCACGAAAATCTCTCAAAAAATTGGAAATATTACAAATACTATAATAACTGAATTATCGTTTGGCACGGCGGGCTCTCAGCCGGAACTATTAATATTTTTATGACGAGAAATGGTAGTCGGCTTAGCCGATTTATCCGACTTATTCGGCCGATTTTTGAACTTTTGTGTAACTCTATCATAATTATCTAAGCCCACTAAGTCGATTTTTAAACTTAAGACCGGCTTAAATATTAACTCTCTGTTATAGGATAACAATAACAAAATCTGGGTTATTATTAGTATTTTTTTATTTTAGAAATATTATCATGTTATGTTTTGCACTTTTAAATAACTTATTTGCCAAAGTGTTTTATCTTAATGTATTTACTTTATATTCCTTTTTTGTTGGACTGCGCAGTGACCTACTGATCAATTATATTTATGACCATATGACCTATTACATATTATGCGGACTGCATAAGATTGTACTACTGTATATATTATATATATATATACATCGATCGATCAAAAAAAGATATTTTATATAACAACGGGAATAATCTATCCACAAAAAATTTTTTTTTAATTTTAATTAAATATGACTGTTTCTCCAAGGGATGCTTTGCTCATAATTGAAGATTCTGTTCAAACACATTTAAGAAATGGGACTAATGTTACTAGAACTATGAACGCTTTTATGATTTATCGAAATGAATACAAACATATGCACCCAAATAATAACTCGTGTAGAAATTTATCAAAATTGGCAGCCGAACTTTGGAGTAAGGAGCCAGAAGATGTTAAAAGTTATTACAAGAGAATAGCCAAACAGGTTAAAGAACGCTATAAAAAAATTTCCCCTACCCAATTTTTCAACCTTGGAACATTCAATCAAGTTTCTACAAATGATAACAGCATCTCGCTAGAAACCAGTTACTCGATTCCTCAAAATACGATTCAAAACTCCTCAGTTACCACCTACAATAATTTTCCAATTCTTAATATGAATGATAACTCTGCTTATTCCAATTCTCAATTTATGAATATGGAGACCCCTCTGGACATGGCCTTTCCATCTAATATGAATTTAAAAATTCAGAATAAGCTTCCTGAAAGTTTATTTTCGGAAAACCCTTCGGTTAGTGATGTCTATAATCCTCAAATATCCAATTTTGATCCTTCGGTAAATGTCAATTCCTCGCTTCTAAACGACGCTTCCTGCTCTGATCCTCAACATATTTACCCTGATCTTCAATTTGTGAATATCAATAGTCAACACGAGGGACAGTTCTCGGTCTTGCCTACATTTGACTAGATATTATCGTTTTTTCTAACTTCATCAAGATTTCAGATGTGGATGCAGTTGATGAATATAATCGTTGTCAGAAAGAGGTTTAATTCGAAATATATTTATTTTAACATAATATATTACTTTAATTTTCCTTACTATATTTTATATTATTATATTGTTTTATTATATTATTAACATAAAGGCTTTTTTATTAAAAATGTTATGTGCAATAAAATTGATGCATTTATTCTATGTAGTTTTAATTATGTTTTTAATATATATATATCACAATAGAATCTACGTAGCTTTAATTATGTTTTTAATCCATACATATATTCCAATATCACAATAGAATCTACATTTTAAACATGTATTTATTCTTCTTAAAAAAACAAAACTTATTGAATAGTTTTCTTTATTATATTTTTAAAATAAACGTTCAGGATTTTACGCATGCGCGAATTTTTGCTTATCCCGTGTTATTTTCCTTATTTCCTTATTCCTTTGTACCTTTGTATTTTACTTTTTTTGGAAATTTTCGCCACATAACTAAAATCGAAATTTCATTTACATATCTGCATGCATTCGCCACAATTCGCACAGTACCAAAATAGAAACTTCATTTAACACATGATCTATTCGCAACAATCCCACACTTATAAAATAAATTTCGATATACTATATTACAAATATATAAATATCATAAGATTCTTTGAAAACCATATTTAGAAACTTGAAAGAAAATTTTATTGCTATATTAGAACTCTTGCATGAAATCTCCAAATAAAGATATTTAAACAAAATTATCGGCACATGATAGCATTTAAATATTCGTGGAAACAAATTATTGTCGATCATTTTACTGTTTAAAGAAAATTACCAATCGTTGCTACATACGGTAGACCTAGTCTTCGATAGTTTTATTTCTTCATTTGTAATTTACTTACATTCTAAATGAAATAAAGCTAGACCGCGTCGGTCACTTAAATTAAATCAAATCAAACCAATCGTTGCTACATAAAAAACATTATTTTATACCCAAACATCTTAAAAATGATACTAAGTAACCTTGAAGACAATACTATTTTGCATCTACTGTAAAGTTTTCAAACTTATATTGTAAGAATTGAAGGAATTGTTAGCCATTATTTCTTAAAGTTTAATTGATAATTATTTGTTCTATTCTCATAATATAGGTTTGAAAACTTTACAGTAGATGCAAAATAGTATTTTCTTTAAGTTTACTTAGTAACAATTTAAAGATTTTTTTTTGGTATGAAATAATGTTTTAAATGTAGAAACGATTGATTTGATTTGAGTGACCGACAAATGTAGAAACGATTGATAATTTTCTTTAAATGGTAAAATGATCAACAATAATTTCGATCAATTTTTAATTGTCTAAGTAAAGTTCTGATTTTCACTAGGAAGAATCAAATATAGTGCTAATAAAAATTATAGCTATGGATATCTATCGAAATCGAGAGACATTACGGTTAACAATTTAATATTTTTGTTAGACACGAAGATTTCTGAACGAGCAAGCATCCAATTTTAATGAATGAGTTGTCATATGATAGCATTTGATCAGGGGATTCTTTTAAAAGTTCACACAATTTAAACCTTGAAATTTGTTAGTTAATTTTATAAAAAACAATTGTCCAGATATTTTGGTAGTTGTTGTATTTGATCACTTTAATAATGTTTGTTTTTCTAATTCTCTTACGCGCATTGTACTCTGTACTTTGTCTATGTAATATCTTGTGCCTGTCTAGAATTTTTTCGTATTTACTGTATTGTTATTATACAATATTTTTATATAAACATTCAATTAATTAAAAAAAGTAAAATGGAAAAAAAACGAAAATACGCCTTTTTTACCACTTTACTCAATTCATAATATTTAATTTTTACATATTAACTCATTTTTTACTGGTCTGATTTTTTTTTCATTTGAATGTGAACATCAATTTGCTGGTAAATAACTAATGATATTATAATATATACAGTAATATAGATACATACATGGTGATTTTAGTCATTTTCATCGACGATTTGACAATTTTCTGGTAAATAACCAAATAATAATGACATATAATATAGATACACACATGGACAATCAATCAAAGTTTTTTTATTTGAATGTGAACACCAATTTTCATAATAATGATGACATATATATAATATATAATATATAATATATAATATATAATGTAGATACTGTACATGTGATTTTAGTCGACGATCAAACAAAAATACGAAAAAGGTATAGTAAGTACAGTCAGTAACAATACTGAACTTTTATCCTTGTAAAAGTACTTGGTGGCCCATATGATGACAAGACATTCCTTTTCAGTCACAGTATAATTTCGTTCGGCCAGTACATACTTTTATGCAGATCTTTGATAATATATATAGAGCCAACTTTTCCCAAAACTTCTAACGAACTTTTATCCGCAAAAACTTATGTTAAGTCTTGAATATATGAAAGCATCTAAAAAAAAATCACATTTTTTTTATGAAGTGACCGAAAGATGATCGAAGAAGTCCAATAACAATTAGCTAGTTTTGAAAGTCATTATATTTTTAAAATAAATGTTCGGAATTTTACGCATGCACGAATTTTTACTTATTCCATGTTCCTTTGTATATAATTTTAATTTGGATTTTTTTTTATTTTACTTCAATTGGGGTTTGTTTGTTTATAACAAAAGAATTAGAATATATTTATTCTAATTTATAAAAAGAAATTCTTCTCTTCGCCACATTGAGCTAAAATCAAAAGATATCATTTACATTCAATGCACATGTCGCCACAGTACCAAAAATAAAAATTTCATTTATGCACTTATCTCTCATATGAGCCACACTAAAAGAAGAAATTATTGAATCAAATTGAGTACGCACTATTTAAAATTTAATATATTTGTTAATAGAAAATTTTTTTTTTAATTTTAAAATGTGAATTTACATATATATAAATATCATATTATATGCAAGCGAATTAAATAAGGGAATTTGAAAGCAAATGTTTTTTTCGTGGTACTGTAGGGAATTATCATAATTAGTTTATCGGCATGGCTCAGTTGGAAAAAATTTTACATATCAATGCACACTTCATTTACACTCTGCACATTAGCCACAGCCACACTAAAATAAGAAATTATTTACAAATATTTATATAAATATCATAAGTGAAATATAATATGTCTTTATTATATGCAAGCGAATTAAATAAGGGAATTTGAAAAGAATCTCAATTCTTAATTATTTCGATCAAAAGAATGGGACATTACCATAATTAGTTTATTGGGCGTTACGTTATTTCTAGAAGTATGTTTCACAATTTCAACAATTTCACTATATCCAAAGACAATAATAAAGGTAAGTCTAAAACTTTGAGAGTAATAAATTTTTTTCGTTATAAAATAAATATACAATTTTCCAAAGCAAAGATAACTATATTGAGCATGACAAGATTTCCGTATTCCTCTAAATTAGTTTACAAATTGATATACGCAGTTGTTGAGTTGATTTGTAAGAAATTAATAATTGGCGACTCGAAATAGAATATATATAAATACTTTCCTATACCTGTGATATAATAAGATATCTAAGATTAATATTATTAAGGAAATAAAAAAAATAATAATAATACTTTTACTAGTTGAGATATTATATCTTGAGATAATATTTTTCTGGGTTTTGAGATATTGTCATTATATTACCAATAATTTAACTAAATAACTATGAATAATTATAAATAATTATAATGAATTTAAATAATGAATAATGTATACAGTCATGATATTGAAATACCAAACTTAAAGAAGTATAAATGAGTCTTTGAAATTTTATTATAAACTGAAAGCTGAAAAATATAATGACAAAATAAAATTTAGTAATAAAAAATAAATAAATAAATAAATAAAAGGAATGTTCTTATATTTCTTTTATATATTTTTTTTTTCAATGAAAACTTTTAATCTCAAACTTAATTAATGCCTCATAAGAAGAAACCACTGTTTCCAAAATCAAAGAAAAACAAGAAAGACATCGAACCATATCCTTCCATAAAAAAAATTCCATTCATAAAAAAAGATATTGAATTTGATTGTCCACATCGAGTAAATACTGGATCTCCGGAACGAGATCGTGGTATGTTAAGTTATATATATATAAATATTTAAATAATTATTTTACATATCAAAAGATTTTAATGAATTAAATTAATTATTATTTTTTTTTAATCAATTTTATCATTATTTCATTTAAGCAACCAAATTAATTTACAATGCAATGATTAAGGCAATTCCAAATCCAAATAATGGTGAGTTCAAACTTTACTATATTCGTAAATGATTTTAATAATCATTCCTTCCCTTGTTATTTTTACTACTACAGAATTATTAGAATTTATTAGAATTTATTCAGAATTTATTTAAATTATCATTATAATGATTATTAGAATCTATTAGAATTTATTAAAAAAATCATTATTAAAATGATTATTAAAACGATTATTAGTATTAGTTTGTTGGTTTTTTTTTTTTTTTATTTTTGATTCATTTTTTATTCATTTTCATTTTTTTTTTTTTTTATCTTTATTTTTATTTCGATTTTTGATTTTTTGATAGTACAAAAGATAGATGTTCTAATTATTGCTAGTTCTATTGAACATAATATTTTTCGGAATTCAACCTGTCTAGTAAATAATTATTATAAAGATCAAATTCGATCAAGAGTATTTAATCTGGCTGACTCTAATAATCCCGAATTTGTTAATGGTGTGGTAAATGGTAAAATTTCTCCAGAGAATGCGGCTGTGATGACTGCGGAAGTAAGTTCTATTTATTGTTCTATATCTAGAAATTCAGAAAATCTTCTTTAAAATTCTTAACACGCATTAGGAAATGGCGTCAAGTGAGAAAAAAAGGAAAAATGCAATTGAACTTAAGAAGTTTGAACAAAGAATTATTCGTCGAAAACCAGATTTGATTCCTATAAAATTAGATGGTGATGGTTCCTTAGGAACTGCAATGTTCGGTTGTGGACCAACAGTTTGGATTGAACGTGAACAAGTAAATAAATTCTCTGATGCAGATGAAGATTACGAATAATCATCAGATCTAAAAATTTTTGTGATACGGGTTCTATATTTATAATAGTTAAAGATTTTCTTTATCATAGAATGATCTATAAATATTTTAGCAAATGTTTTTATTTTTGACTATGACAATGGCCATAATGAATTTGTATTATTGTTCTAATAATTTTGGTTTATATTTGATTTACATATATATGATGTTAAGTTCAGCGCATTAAAACCCGTGACGATATTGTTCCCCAAAACGGATATAATTGGGTCACTCGGAATATCTTGAATGAGTGTAATTATAAATAAGCCTCCTATCAGATCTTTAATCTTTTAATCTTTGAAAAAATAAAAATGTCTCGCGTTTACGAATTCGAAAACAAAACCTTCGAAAATTTTAATGCTACCAATGTTCCAGATGCAAACAAAACAGCATATTTAAAACAAAAAAAAAGGGTGGAAGAATTATTATCCAAATCTACATATAAATTAAACCTACCGTTAAAAAAATTAATTACGTCTTCGAATTCAAGGGAGTCGATTAAATATTCACAAAAAAAAAGAAAAAATCCACCAAGATCGTCAAATAAATTTATTATCTTTAGAAAAGATTTTTGGGCTGGGTATCATAAAAAAAATAAAGGAAAAAAAACAATAAAAGAAATAACGGTGAAAGCAGCTAAAAAATGGAAGAACAATAGTGCATTTGAATATTTATTCGACCAAATAGCGAATTTGGCGAATAAATATTTATTTTATAAATTCCCTACATATAAATATGAACCGAATAAAAAAAATAACCAAAAAAATAATCAAAAAAAAAATAAGAAAAATTCCCTTTTGAAATCGTCATCACCATCTCTTTCTTTACAAACGTCTCCACAAACGTCTTCTTTACAAAATCCTTCAATATCACCTCCATCTTTTTCACATTCACAAGAATCTATTTTATTTCCTCCAACATCGCCGTCACCATATGTAAACTTACCAATTTTGAATACAAATGAAAATAGAAATATTATATATTCGTATAATAATAATAATCAAGAATGTCAAGATTATTTTTATATTGATTTTCATAATTGTGAAAATTATATTCCTAATTATCTCATTATTTATCAAAATAATAACAGTAATTACAATTATAATTATAATAATTATAACAATAATGACAATAATAATAATAATAACAATTATAATTATAATAATTACAATTATAATAATTATTTTTATCATTTTAATGGTTGTAATAATAATAACAATAACAACAATCCTCCATCAAATGGATTTACAAACGATGACGATAACTATGTCGAATTTGGGAAATGGATTCACGATTATTAAGAAAATTAATTTCATTATTTTTTCTTCAGTTAAAACCCTAATAATCTCTCAGATTGTAGGCAGACGAATCAAACCAAACAATGGCCGGCACAGTTGAGGATTAAAATGTGCTATCTGTTGTTTGGTTTGATTCAATTTGTTCCGCCTATGATCTGAGAGATCTATATTTAGGAGTTTAAATGCAGAACAAATCATGATGATTTTTTTTTTTTATCTTCTTTGAAAGTTTCTCGTATACACGTATGTATATTTAAATATTAAATATTTTTTTTCTATCATTATATTTTTAACATATATATCTATCTAGATTATATTAAATATCTTTTCTTTTTACTTTTGGTTATTTATATTTTAGGTCAATCTCATTCTTTTTTTTTTTTATAATTAAATATCCAACGTTCGGTCTTTTTTGAAAAGGTGGGCAAGATTTACGATTATTCTGACATTTGACATTAATATTAATTCATTATTTTTCAACTGTATTTAACTTTTGATTAAATATAAATATATTATTATTATTATTATTATTATTGTTATTAAATTATTCTTTTTTTATTATTACATTATTATTATTAACCATTTAAACAAATTTAATTATAAAAATTACATCGACTATTACCTTACTATATTATTTTATAATTGATTTTCATTTTATATTATTTTATAATATATTATATTATTTTAAATATTAAATATTTTTTCTATCTCAATATATATATGTCTCTATCTAGATTGTACTAAATATCTTTCTTTTTTACTTTTGGTTATTTATATTTTAGGTCAATCTCATTCTTTTTTTTTATCCAACGTTCGTTCGGAAGGTGGAAGGATCTACGAATATTCTGATATTTGACTTTAATATTATTTCATTATTTTTCAATTGTTTTAAACTTCTGATCAGATATAAATATATTATTGATAATAATATTATTGTTATATTATTTTATTATTAACGTTATTATTATTAATCCCTTTTCAAGCGTGCAAAGCGAGGTGTGCTTCTCGTAATTTATTAATTATGAAAATTACGTCGACCACGACCATCTCATTATTTTATATTATTTTATAATTATTTTTCATTTACATTATTTTTTATTATTTTTTATTATTTTATTATTTTTTATTATTTTATTATTTTTTGTTATTTTTTTATTATTTTTTATTATTTTTTATTATTTTATCATTTTTTATTATTAAAATAAGGTTGGGTTGTTATATAAATTATTTTTTTTGAAAAAATTATGTTATAATTAATAGGTCTATTATTAACATCTTTCTTATAATTTCTTTAAATCTAAGATTTATTATGTGAAAAATTTTTATAAAATCCACAAAAAAAAAATCCGAATTTAATTAAATATGTTTCTTCCTATTTAACGACCCCATTTCCCCATCCATTATGACGTTGAGAACTATGATCTATCGAGATCAATTTAAATAATATAAACCAAAATTTTAATCTTTCATGGAAAGATATATTTAAATTTTCTTGGAAGATGAATCACAAAATGTGTTCAAAACTATTACAAACAGATAGTTAAGATTAAAAGATGCTTTGAAGAAATTATCCCTACTCTTTGTTTCATTAATAAATTTGAAACAATTAATCAAGTTGATAATCATGTTTCTCTTGAAATCTCTCAAAAAAATTACTTGCCTTGATCCTCCAAGTACTAATTCTCTATTTACAAATATAGATCAAAGCTCTCTAGATGCCACTTATTTTAATCCTCCCCCTTCGAATATATTCCAAAACATTACTTTCCCTGATGAATCATAATTCTCAACCATATCTGATAATTTTATAAAATCTCTTTATGCATACATGACTATGGATAATGATGAGCTTATGAATTATCTTTCTAAAGTATTAACTTATAAAACAATTATTCAATCATTGCCATTTTGACGCTAGTATCATGTACGTTAAAGACATACCTCTTTGAATATAAAATTAACTTATATTTTAACGTAATAACTCAAATATTTGTTTTTTAAATTTATTTTATTTAAATTTTATGAATTTATTTTTTATAAAAATTAATAAAATATTATTCAATACATTCATCATTATTTAACAAAATTTTATATCTAATAAACTGAAGTTTTGGCATAAAGGAGTTGAAAGAGATTAAAAAGAATATATATTGATAATTCTAATATGATATTTTTATGGTAAATTCACTAATTTACTTAACTCAACGGTTGAATTTTTTAATATTATTAAGCAATATTTCAGGAAGCTTTTTTGATTTAAGAAACGTCAAAAACTATTATTGCTCGAAAAAATAAATATGAGGAATGAAAATTAATTTGTATTTAATATAAATATTTGATGCTTTCGTCATGGTGATACATATTCGCAGTAAATCTCCAATTTATATTATTGGCTTATAAAAATACTGAACACCCATAAACTCCACCCCTTTTTTGTATAATAGAATAGGGTTACACGAATAAAAACATTATTATCTTTAAGGGTCCCCATCGATAAATGCATTTAAAAAATGGTATTAAGAATGTTTAATCAATATAACGAATTCGTTACGATTTATTCTTATGGGTATTTGATTACAAAATGTATTTATTTTCTTTAGAAAAAACATAATTATATTAAAATAAATTATTGGCCATTATTTCAATTGTAGTTACATGTGATTTGTATCACTTTATCTTTTTATATTATTTATTCAGACAACACACTTTACATAAATTATTTGGCACTTAGTTTTAAATAATAAATATAATGTTTTTTTATTAACTGTTAAACATAAAATTCTTAGTAAGTCGAAGCATACAATGACCGTATAAATATAAACAAATAAACAAATAAACAAATAATTATATCAATCGAGAACACATTAATAAATATATTTTATTTATTTTATTAAAACTAAAGATCAAATCTACAGGAAATCGGATAAGATTATTTGTAGAGATGATGTTAACAAACATATATAATATTAATATTAATAATAAATAATGACAATGATAAATATCAAAATATAAGAACAATCTTTACCTCAACCTTTACGTTATATCAATGAATAAACACAAGTTAGTACTGGTCTACGAGATTAGATAACCGAACCTGACGAAAATTTTGTAATCAAGAAAAAAATTTTTATCAAATTCCTTCGTAATCATAAATTCAAATCACTTTAATAACTCTGGATGAAATATTCTTGAAATTCTTGATTCTTCAATTATCAATACCGGAAAAACTTACGACCATATATAGAAACTTGAAAGAAAAATTCATTGTTATAATTTGTATCACAAAACTCTTGCATCATATTAAAGTAACTGAAATTGTTGAAGACTTAAATCATATTTGTTTTATTATAATTTCTTAATTTTTAATTATATACTTTTTTATTTTTTTTTTATTTTTTTTAGCAGTAAAATTGTGGAACGCTCTATTCATAAGTACTAATATTTTACGAATGAGAAAATCAATCTATAATGAATCATTCTTATTATTATCTACTTATAAATCTACATATAAATCTATATATAAATCTATATATAAATCTACATATGAATCTACATATTAAAATTATGCATAAATTATGCAACTTCAAATGTATCAGCGTCATCTACGACACTATTGGTTTTTATTCTGACTTGACTAATAATAAAATAATAAGTTAAAAAGAAATTTAATTAATTAATTAATTAATATTATATCTATAATTATAAAATACACATACCAATAAAATATTCCAGCGAAAGTTCCCAATATAAAGAAAACTGAAAAAAATTTATTTACAATTATAAGAATATATAACATTACTGGATTTCCTTTCGTCAAAGTACCTAAAATGGCAAATATAAAATATGACGTGCTTGACCATAATACTAAAATTGATATTGAAAAGCTTAATATCCTGATCTGTAGAAATGATAAAATAAATATTAATAAATCATAATAAAATGATAATAAATATTAATATAATGTAATATGAAATAAAATACGAAACCTTATTAACATGAGCTTTATGGATTTCACCTTGTAACTTTACTTTAAAATCTTTCCCTCCCGTTATCAAAGCACATTCGTTGATAAGTGTAAATAATAATCCTCCGTATTTGAAATAACCAAAAACAATAGAAATATTTGTTATTCCAATTATAATTAACATTATTGTAGAAATAATATTATTCATTCTATCATTACGAATTAAAATAACATATCCTCGTATAAATGATAATATAAAAACTATTAAACTAAATGTTATTACAAAAGTCCAATAAATTGTAGCCAGTGATCGTTTGCTTGGTATGTACCTAGTTGGTTTACTTTGATTATCCTCTCGATTTGCAGTCGATTGATGGAATGTTAAGAGAGGAATAGCTCTAAATCTATATTTTTAATATTGATATAATAATATTTTGTTATATTATTTTAGTATTATTAATCTTTATATTCACACATGTAATATAATTATGTTATCCCAGAGAAGATGATATCCTTGAAAAAGCGATATCCCAGAGAGAGAACTGACTTACATCCCAACTAAATAAGTTACATTCACAAAAGTTCCAAATATAAAGGTAGAACTATTAAGCATAGTTCGAAATATGTAACATCCAGGAAATATATTGAGAAATATTATAATTAAGAGTAAAGCTCGACCTATATTAATTATTATTTATCATTTATTATGTATTATTATTATTATTATTTAAATTCGGAAATATTCAAAAAAAGAAAACAATTAAATTTATACATACTGAAAGTTTGAAGGGTCAACCAAAATAAGAAACCAGTTGCAGGTTCAAACATATAATCAATCCAAAAAATGGAATTATCACGACAACACTTATATATAAGTAAACTAACAGACAAAAGTGTGATGAATACAAAGGAAGTAGTAGCGACATAATAAAACCATTTCATGTTGTCATTAAGACAATTTTCAATGAATGTCATATTCCATGTACATGACGTTTTTAATGACATTATAATTATTATTATTTCATAAAATAATAATATTTAAAAATTCAGAAAAAAAAAAGTAAAGTTATTTGTATAAGAGTCGAATATATAAAAAAATTTTAAACATTTTAATATTAATAAGCATCGAAGAAAATTTTTTTTTAATTCGAAAATTCTAAAAAAAAACAGTACTTTAAACGACGACATTATTTTGTATATATAATTTTTTTTTTGTGATACTTTTATTTTTACAAATATTAAAAAAATATTATTGTTTTTAATAACAAACAAGAATTAATAATAAAAAAAAGGACCCATTAACAAAATAAACTTGGATTCGTTAGAATCATATTTGTTGAATAATATTTATGATATTCATAATATTTGGTAAAAAATGTCTGATAAACAACGAAATTCATTGAGTTTTTATTGAGAGTTTCTTTGTATTCGGTGTTCTATTTATAATAACAACTTTAAAATGGACTTTGTCTTATAGAACGATTAGATAACAATAATTTGTACACTCCCGTTTATTGAAGATGATGGATATGATTAATTTTAGTCTGTTGGCTTTATTTTTTTAAAGTGGCCTGATGTTATGATTTTATCACATTATGTGATAAAATGCAAAACTTTATTTAATGTATTTTTAGAATTCAATTTGAGTGTTTTTTTTTTTTTTTTGTATTTTCAAATGGAGTAAAAAAGTTCTAATCCTTCCATGTCTGTCTATAATATATAATTTTACTAAATATGAACTTTTTAAATCTATCTAATGCCTATGGTAGATAATAGAGAAATAATAATTAATAAATTAATTATTTTAACAGTTAAGATTAAAAACCTAACTAATTTTTTTTTCTTTTTGCAATATATAGTTTATTACTTTATTTTTATTTTATATTTAAATATATTTACTGATTCTTAACTGATTCCTCAAACTGATAGGTAATCTATTTTCTTAAAGTAATAAAAAAAAAAGACTTGAAACTTTGACATATGGGTCGAATATAGGTTCCGATAACTTATGGCAAAATATAAGAGGAAATTATAAAATGTTAATCGATTTCCTTATTTAGACATCTTGCCCGTGAGCAAAATAATGTTGGGTGAACCTTCTCGTGTAAAAAATTTGTTGTGCTACAGGTATGAAATTATTAGTGGTGCACTTGACTTTTGTACATCAAAAAAAAATATTTCTTAATTTATAACAAAATTAGAACAATAACAACAAACAATGACACAAATAATATTTATGGCAATAACAATTATACAATAGTATATACCTATTGAAAAATTCGAAATAAAATTAATTTCGATTTTCAAAACAAAAATATTCTTTAATTATAAGAATTAATTGAAATTGAAATTCGTTAAATATATTAAGATTAAAATTATGTAATGAATAGTAATGTCCAGATATAGTGAATGATCTATTGTTAAATATGTCATACTACGTGAAAAAAAAATAATCATAGGTGACACCATTTTGGTGACGAGAAAATATGTATCAAAATATATAAATAATATATATGGAAATTAATAGGATAACTAGATTTCGTTGGTGAATCGACAGTAGAAAATGATTATATTACTCATCATAACTTTAATTCTTTACTTGATAAAAATATTTTGGTGATAGAATCCGATTAAATCTTAGATTTTATTTATTTATTTTTCCATTATGTAATTTAATTTTCTAAGGTCAATGAAAATTGAGTCATGTGATATGGAATAATCAACCATTGTTACTTTAATTATTCCGATATTAATATTTGCCAACAAAATAGAAAAGGTGATAAATTAAAAATAATTTGCATCAATTACATATTCTAATATGAAATAATCATAATGCACGGCGTATAAATTTATTATTTATTTTTATTATATTATTATTCATTATGCAGAAAATCTGTGTTCTCACTCGTAGTAATACATAATGATGTATTTTATATCCTTTTTTTTTAAATAAATTAACTTTATTTATTGACGATGCATTGAATTTTGAATAGTACTGAAATATTATAATCAACCGAATTATCATCTGCACAGCAGGCTCTCGTATACTGTAAATGTCATCGCTGATCACATTTTTAATTCATTGTATTGTGTCTATAAATGTAAAATCTAAATTATTATTTGTTCTTATTTTAGAAGTTTCCAGAAATTATCACATACTGTTACATCTAAAAAAAAAAAAAATTTACATCTATAAAAAATTTATATTTTGTTACGTCTACAAAAAAAAGTTTATATATTGTTACATCTATAAAAAGTTTATATTCTGCTACATCTATAAAAGTTTATATTCTTTTACATCTATAAAAGTTTATATTCTGTTACATCTATAAAAATTTATTCAAAAAAAAAAAAAAAAAGATGTGAAATACCAAAAATTTAATTTATATCTCATCGTAAATATTTATAATGTTAATTATGATTATTATGTATATTAATTCTCTTATATTCATTATTTAATGAAATTCTATTCGAAATTGAGTTTGACTTTGATTACCAAATTCATTTTACAAGTTCAATATACAGTAGAACCTGTCTATAAGTATACCCTCGGGCTAAGGAAAATCCTATGCATTTAAATAGGTTATGCTTGTATACGTTGAGACTTCATATGTATTATATATAAATCTTGTGACCTCGTGTTAGAAAAATTATATGCTTAAAGACAGGTTATACTTATACACGTATGCTTATAGACAAGTTCTACTGTATATTAGTAACATTGGAATAATTAAACAAATAATAATTAATGTTTGTAGAAAATTTTAATTTTTTTTCCAGTTTATTTATTCGGTCTTTAATTTTGGCTAAAATTTTATTATCTATTCTTTCAGATGAACGTTAAACAAGGTGGCAAAGTTATATTTTCAGTTAAACTTCTACATAAAGAAGAATCTTCTTCTATAAATGAATCAAATTTTTCTCGGTGGAATTTAAAATCTATCAATTGGAAAATTAAGATATAAAGTAAAAAAAAAAATTTATGCAAGAGAATTATATCTGTTTCATCTTTGTTGTCTATGTTAACATTTGGAAATTTGATCATGAAAGAATTCCTTCCAAATTACAAAATGGAATTAAGCAAGCATTTTTTGATAATTTTTATAATTTGTCTTTTTTAAATAAATAATAATAACAAAAAAGTTATATTTATATTTATTAGGTTTATTTGGGAAATTACTGAAACTCAAGTTAATGCCGATCCACGAGATTGTCCTAAAATTGGTATCGTTCAAATATCTGAATCTGACGAAAATTTTGCAATCAAGAAAAAACTTATCGAATTCTTTAATAATCATAAATTATATAAATTGAAATCACTGGATGAAATAGATGAAATAGGTTCAAACAAAATTAATGCAATTATTCTTGATTCTTCAATTATCAGTGCCGGAAAGCTTCCGACCATATGTAGAAACTTGAAAGAAAAAATTTATTTTTATACTTTGTAAGTTTGTATCACAGAATTCTTATATTAAAGTAACTGAAATTGTCGAAGACTTAAGGTTATCAAATCATATTTGTTTTACCACCAAAGTGCGTAGTTTTTATTTTAACTTAGCTTCCCGAATTAGAAGGCTTATTTTTAATTTTAATTCAACATGCTTTTTTATATTATTTTTTTAATTTTAATTCAACATACTTTTTTATATTATTTTTTTAATTTTAATTCAACATACTTTTTTATGTTATTTTTTTGAATGCAGTAATTCCGGAACGCTCTATTCATAAGTACTAATTTAAGGAATATCTACAAAAGAAGATATTTGAATAAACTTTCTGTCACACATAAAAACTGACATTCATGATTATCACAATGATATAAAAATAACTCTCCATCTCCACGACAAAAAAAAATAATAATAATAACATCCCTATAAAAATCTCATTGCTCTCCATTATCAAAAAAAAATAAGAACATTCCTATAAAATCTCACTGCTTTCCCTAACAAAAAAAAAAATCAGAATTTTAATTAAATATGAATGATCTTCGAACAAATGATTTAATTAATAAATATATCGCAATACATTTAAAAAATGGAACTAAAGTTGGGAAAACTATGAATGCATATTTAATTTATCGTAACGAAACCCGCCCGAACAATAACTCTTTGTGTAAAGAAGTGTCAAAATTGACAGCCGAAGGTTGGAAAAATGAACATGAAGAGGTTAAACACTATTACAGGGAAATAGCTGAAAAGATTAAAGAACGATATAAGGAAATTGCTACTCCTACTTTTATCAACTCTGGAACCGGAATCTCGCTAGAAAAAACTCCTCAGAGCAAGGTTCAAAATTACGAGAATTTTCTATCTTGTCCCAATAATTACGACAGTTCTCAATCCATGAATATAGAAAACCCTCCAGACACAATCACCCTCCCACTTAACATAAATCTTCAAGATTATCCTCAACCTATATTTTCGGATATGTGTCAAAATCCTTCAGAAGGTGCTTATCTAGATACATATTTTGATCCTTCACTATTTATTATGGATCAAAACATTGCTTATCCTCAACACATTAATATTGATCAAAACATTACTCCTGATCCTCAACACATTAATATTGATCAAAACTTTGTTTACCCCGATCCTCGATATATTAATATTAATCATATTTGTCTTCAATCTGTATATACCGATAGTCCACCTGATGGACAGTTTTCCGTCTCGCCTACATACTTTAATCATTACCCTTCATATTAGTTAATATTACTCTCTTAATTATTTATTTTAACATAATAAATGCTTTCAATTTCCTGTATTTATTTTATTATACTGTTATATTATTAGCTTATTATATTTTATTTTTTTATTTTTTATGAAAACAGATATAAAAGGTTATGTTTTATTGGAAATGTGATGTGCATGTGAAATGTATATGCTTTTATTATATAAATACTTTTTAATTATTTTTTGATCTACATATATTTAATCTAATAAAACCTATGTTTTTCAAATATGCATTTATTCTTTTATTCTGATATTTTTAATAAAAATATGAAATTTTGGATATACTGAATAATACGAAAAAATCTAAAAAAAAAAAACATTTTCTTTAATATATTTTTAAAATAAACGTCCCAAATTTACGTGCGCACTAATCACTAATTCTTACTTATCCCATGCTAGTTTCTTTTATTTCCTTTGCTCGTGTTATTCCTTATATGTAATTTAGAAAATTCCAAGATTCTTTAAAATAAACTTTCGGAATTTACGCGTTACATGACTTTTTTACTTATCCCAGGCTAGTTTCATTTTTTTATTTCCATTATTCCTTATTTCGCTTATATATAAATTAGAACTTCCGAGATTTCTCTTTTAACATAAATGTCTGGAATTTACGCATGCGCGGGGTTTTTTTTTACCTATTTTCTTTTTTATTTCCTTTATTCACATTATTCCTTATTTCCCTTATGTGTGTAATTTAGAACTTTCAGGATTTCTTTATTTTAATTTAATTGGGTAAATTAAAGTATTAAAGTTTAGTTTATTTATTTTTAGAAAAAAAAAGTTATTAAATGTTTATTCTAATTTACAAAAAAAAAAATTCTTCTCTTGCCACATTTTAAACTAAAATCGAAATATCATTTAACAATCTGCACGTTTTTGGCTAACACATGATTTCTATATGCAAAATTAAAATTTCATTTACAACATTTTTCTTCGCCACATACCAAAAATAAAATTTCATTTATACCTGAAGATGCATCTCTCTGCACATAAATTTTGTTCGCCACAAACCAACACAAAAAATCAAATTTTCATTTACAACCAATTTTTAGTCACCCATCCTAAATAAAATTTCGATGGAAATCTATTGAATCTATAAATACATACCTTTGTTAAAAAAAAAAAAAAAAAATCTCTGCTAAATTGAAAAAAAAATAATAATTAAATAAAAGAATATCAATTTCCACAATAGATAACTGTTTTTTAATTTAAAATGTAAGTGATACTAATAAGGGAATTATATGTTTTTTATTATATGCAATCAAATTAAATAAGGAAATTTCAATGAGAATCTTAATTATTTAACTATTCCTTAATTATTTCGAGTGGCTACTTTTTATTGTGACACCGTGTTTCTGTATTGTTATTACCATAATTAGATTATCGGCATAAAAAAAAAATTACGATAATAAGTAATTCCACAGCTACTGCATGTTCTCTTTTAGGATATAATTTTTTTATCGTCTTTTGCTTCTTATGTTCTCGTTGGATTACTCACTATATTTAAAAAGACAAATAATAATAAAAACTTTCTTAGGGAGAAATAATTGTTTTTTTTTTTCGTTAAAATAATAAATATACAATTTTCCGAAATAAAAGATCAAATGCAATGTAATTAACTATATAGAGATTTCCGCAATCTTAATCTAAATTAAGTAACAAATAAAACAACTACTAGGAAAGGATTTCCAAATTGAAATATTTTGATATATTCACGTTGTTGTATTACTCACTAAAATTTGGCGACTCGAAATAGAAATATAAAATACTTTTCTATACCTGTGATAATAAATTATCACTTTTATTAGTTGAGGTATTATATTATCCTTATTAACAATAATTTAACCATAAATAATTATAAATAATTATAAAATTTAAATAATAATAATATATACAGTCATGATATTGAAATACAAAGTTTAGGGAAGTATAAACGAGTCTTTGTAATTTTATTATATAAGCTGAAAGATGAAAATGTAATGACAAAATAAACAAACAAACAAACAAATAAATAAATAAATAAATAAATAAATATAAGGAACACTATTATTTTATTTTACTTTATTTTATTTTCAATGAAAACTTTTTAATCTAGTTCCTAAATTATTTCCTATATAATAAAAATTCTTATTATCAATCATTCTTTTATTTTCGTTTATAAAAAACTTAATTAATGCCTCCTAAGAAGAATTCACAGTTTTCCAAAATAGTTCCATTCATAAATAATATAGTGAATTGATTGTCCACATCGAGTAAATGCGTGGTATGCAAATATTAAGTTTATGGGTATTGCTAAAACTCAGCGGTGGTAATTGTCACCACTAGACAAAATTACATAATTCCGAACTTTGCTTTTCCCACATAAATTTAATTTTGCCCAGTGGTGACAACCACTGGTGATCTTAAGCAATTTTCATTATTTTTAACCAAATTAATTTACAATGCCAAGTTCAAACTTTACTTTTTTGTATATAATTTTTAAAAATCGTTCCTTCCCTGTTATTACTATAACTATTATTAAAATGATCATTAAAAATTATTAACTATTATTGGCTCGGGCCGTCTAGTCTCCGACACTTCTTTCAGCTGACTTTAAATTGTTATTATCTTAAAGAGAGTTTTTTGAAAAGATACGGGAATAATAGAAAGTGAAACATTGTTAAAAATTCACTATGTATTACTATGATTATATGCAAAATTTAGCACCTTAAAATTCAATAATCTAAATTGTGTTCTCACTTATAGATTTCTGATAATAAATATTCAGTTAACAACTTCACCATATTATTAGCCAATCACATTTGAAGTCAAAGTTAGCCTATTTTTTTCATTTGTTTTTATCTTTTATTTTATTTTTACTCTTTAATTTTGACAGTACAAAAATAAATGTTCGAACATATATTTTTCAGAATTCAAACTGCCTAGTAAATAGTCACTATAAAGATCAATTTAATAATCTTAAATTTGTTATTGATGTGGTAAATGGTAAAATTTCTCCTGAGAATGTGCTGTGATGACTGCGGAAGTAAGATATATTAATTATTTTTGACTTTGTTCCTATATTTAGTAATTCAGAAAATCCTGTCTAAAATTCTTAATACACATTATAAAATGACGTCAAGTGAAAAACAGTTTGAATTGAACGTGAACAAGCAAATAAGAGTGATGATTTGAAGATCTAAAATTTTTTGGATACAGTGATCTTGATTTATAATGGTTGATAAGATTTCCTTATCGAATAATCTACAAATATTTGTTGACTATGAAACAATAGTAATAATAAATATTTATGTATTATTGTTCCAATAATTTGTGATTTATGCTCTGCGGATTAAACCCGTGACATAATTGTTTCCAAAAAAGGATATAATTGTATCCGGAAAATCTTTAAATGAATATAAATAAGCCTCTCTCCTATCAGATCTTTAATATTTGAAAAAATACCATGACGTTTGTATTTGAGTTCAAAAACGAAACTTCAGAAAATTACAATACGACAAATGCTCCAGGAGACAATAAAAAAGCTTACCTTGAACAAAAAATGAAAGTGAAAGAAATGTTATCATATTCGACTTATAAACTAACACTTTCGTTAAAAGACCTAATTAAATCCACAAAATCCAGGGAGGCTAAAAAATTTCTGAAGAAAAAAAGGAAAAATCCACCTAGATATTTGAATAAATTTTTTATTTTTAGAAAAGATTTAGATGCTCGGTACCGAAAAGCGAACGATGTAAAAAATTTAAAGGAAATAACCGATTTAGCGAAAGAAAAGTGGAACAACGAAAATACATTCGAATACCTATTTGACCAAATTTCGAATTTGGCAAAAAAATATTTATTATATAAGTTTCCAAATTACAAATATCAACCTAAAAAAAATAATAATAATAATCAAAACAAAAATAATAATAATCAAAACAAAAATAATGTAAAGTCTAATTTATCTCAGAAATCTCCAACTTGTACATCATGGACGACTCCGATATCCCTGTCGCCTGTAACATCTACCTCGTCTCCAGTACCACCATCATCTTCAATATCATCTCCACCTCCAACATCACCTCCTTCACAAACTTTGTCTTCATTTCTATCTCCAACATCACCCTGGCAGTTGTCACAAAATATATACTCCCCAATTTCGAATACGAGCGAAAATAATGAATGTAATAATGAAAATTCGAATTTAAATTACAACAACAACAATAATAATCAAGAATTGTTTGATCCTAGTGAAAATAATAATTTGGAAGACTCTTCTGGATGTCTTAATTATTTTGTTTATCATAATAATATTTATCTTCTCGATAATCGTCCCGTTAGCGATCAAAATAATTATAATAATAATTATAATAATGATAACATTTATAATAATAACAACAATTATAATAATTCTAATAATCATGATGACATTTACAATAATGACAACAATTGTAATAATTATAATAATAATAATAATTATAACAATCATGAATATTTCACGAATACAAATGGATTTACGTATAACGAATTTTCAGAAGAATAGTATGAGAAACGGACAAATGAATATTAAGAAAATTAATTTCATGATTTCTTCCTCACCTTAAAACCCCGATGGGCTCCCAGGTTGTAGGCAGAATAATTTAACCAAACAATGGCCAGGATTAAACCGTTCTAGCTGTTGTTTGGTTTGATTCAATCTGCCTGTAGCCTGATGAACTTATTTTGGTTTTAAATGTGGAACAAATCATGCTACATTTTTTTTTATTATTATTTTCTTTGAAAATTTTCTCATATATACACACACATACGTATATTATATATTTCTATTTAATATTAAATAGTTTTTTTATCTTTATATATATATATATACACACATTTATCTAGGTTATAAATATCTTTTCTTTTTATTTTTACTTTTGTATCCGATTTATATTTTAGGTCAAATCTCATTATACATTTTTTTTATAAATATATCCATTTTATCAACTGACGGAAAAGGTGGGCGGGTTCTACGAGAAATACGTTATTATTTTTTCATCATTTTTCAATTGTATTAATTTTTGATTAAATAAATATTAACGTTATTATTATTACAATATTATTATTATTGTTAACATCATTTTTAAGTGAGTAAAGCGAGGTTGTAATTTATTTAAAGAATTTAATTATTAAAATTACATCGATCGCTCGTTGATGACTGGAATTATACAATCTCCTTACTATATTATTTTATATTATTGATTTTATATTATTTTATATTTTTATATTATTTTATGTTACCTTATCGTGTAGTTAATTTTCATTTTATATTATTTTATATTATTTTACCAAATAAAGAAAGAATGATAATTCATTATCGCTCAGGTTGGTGGTTATATAAATTATATTCTTAAAAAATTGTTATAATTACTATTACTAATATCTTGTATTTTATATTTAATTAATATATTAAGATATATTATTACTACTTTTACACGCATAATATCATATCATTACTTTAAATATAATAAATAATTATATACTTTTTATATTACTTTATATATATAATGCATTACATGAAGAATTTTTATATCTCCCACAAAAAAAAAAGCCGATTTTAATTTAAATATGTCTCTTCTTATTAACGACAAAAATATCGAAAACATAGTAAAAGTTCCATTATTAATGTAGATGAAATCGTACAAATGGCGTTGAGAATTTTAATCAAACTGTGAACGCATGCATTTATAATTTATCGAAAACAATTTATTTATATATTGTAAACCAAAATTTTAATCTTTCATAGAATGATATGTATAAATTTGCCAGAATTTCAAAATGAACTACTAAATGATAAAACCTATTACAAACAGATAGCTAAGAAAGTTATTAAATACTTTAAAGAAATTGTCCTCACTCTTTGTTTCATTAATAAATTTGGAAAAACAATTAATCAAGTTGAAAACCACGTCTCTCTAGAAACCAATCCTCTTATGGACCAAAGCTCTTAAAAAAATTACTTTTCCTGATCCTCCAGGTACTACCTGTTGTAATTCTCTATTTACGAATATTGATCAAAATTCTCTAGATGCCACTTATTTTAACCCTCCATCGTCAAATATGTTCCAAAAAATTACTTACTTTAATCATTCGCTTTTTTCGATGGATCATAATTCTCAACCAATATCTAATAATTTTAAAAAAAAATCTCTTTATTCATATGTGACTATTGATGATGAATTATCTTTCTGATGATTTGGAATTAACTTATAAAACAATTATTCAATTATTACCATTTGATGCTAGTGTTATGTACGTTAACGAAATACTTCTTTGAATATAAAATTAATTTAAATTTCAACATGATAACTAATAAATCTTCAAATGTTCGTTTTTAAATTTATTTTATTAAAATTTTATGAATTAATTTTTCTTCGCTTATGAGGGATAATAAAAATTCAATATATTTTAAACATTGTAATAAACTTATAAAAATTAATAGAGTATTATTCAATACATTCATTATTTAACATAATAATATTTAATAAGCTTAAGTTTTGTTTTTTATTGATATTATTAAATAAATAAAGGCATTTTATGGTCGTGATCTTTGACATAAAGGAGTTGAAAGAATATTGATAGTTATAAATATGATATTCCTTATGGTGACCTATGAACCCCATACTTCCTACTTTAACCCAACAAATGAACTTTCTAATATTTTTAAGCAATATGTCAGGAAGTTTTTGACCCTGAATTTAATAAACATCAAAAACTATTTATTGCTCGAAAAATAAATATGCTGCTGCAAGAGAAGATTTAACTAAGTAATGAACAGAATGTTAAAAATGAAAAATGTGAATTTATTTATGTGAATTTAATTGGTAACACACATACTGTATAATATTCGCCATTTATATTACCTTATACGGTTTACTGTACACCAAAATATTATACCGTATTTCCAACTTAGATACTGTTATATTTTAGTCTAAATAAAAATACTAAAATTTCTTGTTTTTTATTTATCCAAATATTTCTCTTCCCATCAATACCAAAATACATCAATTAGTACAATCAAATATTTACAAAGTTTAATCTTTCAAGTAAAGATGTATCTAAATTTGTCAGCATTTCATGATAAAATGAGACAGAATTTATTAAAACTATTACCAGAAGATAGTAAAAAATGTAAAAACATGTTTCAAAACTTCTCTGATTATCCACTTTTTGAATATGGATTTCTAAAAATATCAACATATGGAGTAATTATTCAGTAATTACCCATTATCGCGTTGATTTATATTTTGCGAAACCAAAATCTTAAATATATATATGTGTGCTAGTTTAATTACATATTTCATTTCATACATTAAAAAAAAAAGAATCAATAGATGTAAAATTTATTCATTTTCTTTAGTAAAAACAACTATATTAAAATAAATTATTGGCAATTGTAACTCTTAGTTCACTCGCATGATCTGGTCACATTTTATAACACCACCATAAAAATGAGTCATTCATAACGTCCATTTCTAGTATTTTCATCTTGCACAGCATGGTATCCGCATAATTTTAAACAATTTATTGGTATTAACTTATTTATTCAGTTGTGAGAGAACATTTTGATAGAATATTCTATTTTTAGTAAGTCAAAACTGGATAAATATTACGATAAAGATCAAATAATTTTTCAACATTTTAGGCGTAGACTAATTTATCAAATTAAACTTACTAAAATTCTTATAATTGCAACTATAAAAAATTCTTCATATTTGTATAGAAATTTTAATGGATAATATAGTATTTAATATTTTTACCAAAATCGAATTCAATAAAGCGTTTAGACCAATTATAAATTAATTGTTAAATTCATTATAAAACTCTATTTAAAAAAATAGTAACACAAGGGAACACAATTATGACTTTATGTTATTTTTTACCAAAATCGAATTTAATAAATTCAATAAAGCTCTATTTATTTTTCGAAATGAATTTTAATGTTGGACCAGATTTCTCTGAGTCATTAAAAAAATAGTAACACAAGGGAACACGATCCTTATAAATACCTCACTTTTCATTTCAATTTGAATAAATTTTCTTTTAACCCAAAAATAAGTGTATTAAAAATAAAATTTTATGTGTAGTTACCACGAAAATTTAAGCCAAATTTGGAAATTTACCATATTTGATTCCAATTAATTGCCTTATTTGAAATCGTATACATCGTCCTTAAGTATTTTAAATTTATTAATTATAAATCAACTTGGTGAAAAAAATTTTTAAATAATAACTCCCTTCTTTGAAAAAAAATTACAATTTTATTAAATGTCACTTAATATTAATTACCAAAACATTAAAGTACCTTTTCCCCCAACCATTAATGTAGATGAAATAGTAAATATTCATTTAAAAAATGGTATTAAGAACGTTAACAAAACTATGAATGCATTTATAATTTTTCGAAAAGAATATAATCGTGTAGTTGCAAAATTTAATCTTTCAAGTAAAGATGTATCTAAATTTGGCAGCATTTCATGGAAAAATGAGCCAGTAAATGTCAAAAACCATTACCGACAGATGGCAAAAAATGTAAAAAAATGTTTCAAAAAAAAAGTTCCTTCTCTTTGTTTTATCAACCGTTATCAAGGCGATAGTATAAATGATAATCACGTCCCTTCAGGAACCGTTAATCCTTCACTTAATACGATTCAAAACTTTCCTCCACCACTTAATCAGAATCAAAAATTTCTTAATGCTAGTCCTCTACAAAATTCCACCTACTTACTTCTTGATAGAGAATACAACTCTCCAGATTTCACCAATTTTAATCTTCCGCCTCCAAATATTACAAATGTGGAACAAAACGATGACGATTTTGAAAATATATGTCTTGCACACAATAATATGGAAGAGAATGAATTTATAAACCGTTTTTCTGAAGATAATGTATTAACTTATAAGGCAATTTGTTATTCAATCGTCACCCTACCTTTATAATCCATGCTAGTTATTTAATAATTACATATAATAAGATTTTTTTCATTTGTGTTATTATTCTTACATTAAAAAAAAATAGAATAAATAGACAGTGGTTCTACGAAATTTATTGTTTCTTTAACGAATTATAACTTAGGTAATGCAAATTTTCAAATACAGTATATACAGTTATTATATGAATATATTTGTATATAAATTTTGGTCAAAACAATAAACTTACGTTTAACACCAAACTTTATTGTGATATAAAAAATCATTGTTTCAGTAATAATACCATTATATAATGTTTCGTTAGCACAGCGTGAATAATATTCTAACCATACTTGTTAGACAAACAATGATGATTTTATATTTTAATCACTACTAAAAATATGCTGCTTATTATTATCTTCCTATACTTTATTGATTCTAAAAGAAGTATTGATAAATCGGGATCTAAGTAGAATTTGTAATTCTTATAATCATGATAAAAAAATGTTTTCGTATTGTTTTTATTTGCTCAAATATGGAATTTGCAAAAATAAAAATAGTACATAAAAATACATAATTTAATTCTAAAACTTTATACCGCAGAGGTCAGAGTAGGTTTTTCAAGGGTAGTGTATTTATCAATTTTTATTATTGGAATTTTTAAGCATGTAAGTATTGATTTAATTATTATTTGTTCAAATTAATATACATAAATTGTGAAGAGTTCCCATGTACATATTGTTATGAAAGATAATCGAATATTAGGTCACAGCAAGGGATTTGCATAATCTAAATAATATATTTATTAACAACAATAATAGTTGGCATAATCATTACCGACTCTATGTGTAAGTTAAAGAGAAAAGCTTAATGATATATTAAATAATAAAAATTAATAATAATGATGGCTATAATAATAGATAATCATGAGAATAATGATAACAAACAAGGATACTTCTGATATTAATTTTCAATTATAATAAAAACGTCAAGAGATAAAGTAAACATCTTTAAAAAGATTATTGTTTAAATGTAATCGTTATAAAATATATTAATAAGAAATCAAGAGATAAAATGCAAAGTTTTCTAGTAAATTTCGGGTTGACAAAGAATTTTTTTAATTTAAAAATATAAATTTCACTAATTTAAATAATCCAAAAGTTATTATAATCATTTATTATCATTTATTATCATTTATTATTCCCCATTTTACTCTATACGATTTTTATCATACGTTTTAGATTTCATTTCATTAAAATACACAATAAACAATGAAAACATGAATACCAATATTATTATCTGTTATTATGGTACATGGAGGCTTGTAGTCCGTATAATATGTCTAATAATAAAGAATATTAAATAAAAAAAACCATATAATATCCTGAAACACGACTTTTAATTGAATTTACCATTTTTAAATTTTTATATACTGTCGCGGTCTGCGCAGAACAAGTGGAAAGTTAAGCCAATCAGTCTCAATAAATTTAGGTCAATCACACGATAATTCAATGTAT